GGATATGGTCACAGTCCAGAAAAAATGGCAGTTAAATAATGTAAATATCATAAACAATGCCACACTTACTTTCTTGGCTCGGCTTACGGTAGCAAATTCCATGGCCTTCAAGGGAAAATGGATTGCTATGAACCGTTCTATTGTCATGGCAACAAGCAGCCATGCAGAATATTGAAATAAGAAGTAGGTAAGAAAATTGAACACTTTGCATGCTGTTGGACTCAAAATGATAGCATCCCAACCATTGATCACTGAAAACCAGCTTCGTATTCCACTGAAAAACAGCACAAGTGTGTCCACTACAGCAATCACAGCTAGATAGAAACAGGTGGAGGAGTGGATCATTGTCTTTCTTATCATTACAATGAAGCTGATCAAGTTGCCTACTGTTCCCAGAAATATGATGACCGGGTAAACGTAGAGACCAAGATATCTAGACCACATATAGGTGGGATACTGCTCCAGGACATCCCATATGGTTGGCATCTCGACCGGGGGATCACGGTTGTCTGACGGAGAGCTTGTACTGTTCGAATGGTTTGTAAGTTGTGAGACAATGTCGAGGCTGTCCGGAGTAATCATATCTCCAATATTTGTGTCCACTGATTACAATACACCAGGAATGTAACTGATCAGTTTATGAACCCCTTTGAACTTTGTTTCTCGCTGGTCTGTTTGTTCGACTACCTCATTTTAATTAAATATCCAAGTTCATTCTTATTGAAATTTAAATGCCAGGAAAATGTCACTATTGTGTATGGATTTGATCTTCATGTAGCTACGATCCCTGAGTAACTGAGCCCTAGACGTACCAGCATCTGCATGTGAACTGTGTGAACATTTGTAAAGTTTGTTAAGGTGATGTCAGCATAAGAGTGTCAAGTAGGCATTATAGTCTCTATGTGTACACTCAACAACTACCTGTTTGTAGTTTTAGGAAATTGGATCAATTTTGTCTTGATTTATGATGGGACATTTTCAACATATATAACATTTCAACTCTATTTAGCGACAGTTTTGTTTTCCTGTCAATAAAAGCCTACTTAAGAGAAGAAGTGGGTCATTACTCTGCAACTTGAGGACACGTGACCACCAGCTGTAGGCATGGTCCTGTTTCCCATATATGGGACCTACTGGCACCTCATCACAGTATAGGAGGTGGTATTATTATGCAAAAGTTTGAAGATTCAGTCAATGTTGGTTGTATAGCCTGCAGTATAAGTAAATCATTGTGCCTGTCACTGTCACATTCCAATATATTGGTAGTTATATGTATCTGTCTACCTATGTGGTATCATCCTAGTTCTAACATCAAGTCACATCCATCCTCCTGCTACATCAGCTGTTAACTTTTCATATTTCAAACTTGACAGTTCCTTAGTGGTGGGATTCCACAAACATGCCAGAAACCTGATAAGGCCAGCATGGCCCCACCACTCAGGCTCAGAAAAAGGAACAGTTTTTACGACTTGTTTCATAAATCTCAAATGAATGAAAGCTTATGTCAGATCCTCAGCATACACATTGGGAATGATGTGGTTTAAGTTTAGGTCAATTTCATATATCATTTTGACCAGTTAAACCCTTAATTGTTATTGATTGTTTAATTATGAAATTAAAAGGAACCTACTGATCTTGTTTTGTGTTCTTGAAAGCTTTGATAGAGCCTTTCATGGCTGTATTAAATCTACAGGTACTTTCTGATTTGTGTCTGAAATGTTAGGTGTGCCCACGTAGATGAAATTGGCCTTGTTCTTTCAGGTAATTTAAGCGGTATTTGAAGTTGGTAATTTGCAAAAATGTTCTTGTTAATATGCTAAAAATATTATAAACAAGTTTGGATAGGCCTGATTTGTTAGTGGGGCGATAATCACAGGAAGTGTTGTCACAAGCATCTTATTACACTCAAATTGAGGCTTACTGTCAAGTAGAGATGATTTAATCAAACATAAGAGGTTGTTTTTAGTGTGTAGATGAGTTACTATCTAAACAATACAAGACATTGTTGACACAAGCCTCTGTCTGAAGTTTATTGTACACATTGAATACTCAGGCTGTGGTCACTCCACCAGGTTATCAGCACTTTACTGATGATAGAAATTAGTAACTTTCATTTCATGTCATGTATGGGGTATTTTATTTTGTAACACAAGAATTCATCAGGATTTGGTGATGGGAAAAAAGAGGATGTGATAACCATGCATATGATTAACTCTACATTAATTCTATAAACATCTCTAAATGTCCTGTAATTTAATTTCAGTTTTAACCAAAATCAAATTGGAAAGCAGAACCTGAAGTGTCTGCTCCAAATAAGGATAATATCTTATAAAACAACAACAAAAAACATTATATAAATGTTATCATCTCACTACAGTTGCTGACTCCAAATCATGTTGTGATCATTGTAAAAAATAACTATCAAGGCTAAAGGTGCTGGCTCCAAATCATGATGTGATCATTGTAAAAAGTAACTATCAATAAAGGTGCTGGCTCCAAACCATGATGTGATCATTGTAAAAAATAACCATCAATAAAGGTGCTGGCTCCAAATCATGATGTGATCATTGTAAAAAGTAACTATCAATAAAGGTGCTGGCTCCAAATCATGATGTGATCATTGTAAAAAATAACTCTCTATAAAGGTGCTGGCTCCAAACCATGATGTGATCATTGTAAAAAATAACCATCAATAAAGGTGCTGGCTCCAAATCATGATGTGATCATTGTAAAAAGTAACTATCAATAAAGGTGCTGGCTCCAAATCATGATGTGATCATTGTAAAAAATAACCATCAATAAAGGTGCTGGCTCCAAATCATGATGTGTAAAAAGTAATCAATAAATTGTGATCATTGTAAAAAATAAAAAGTAAAAAGTAACTATCAAGGCTAAAGGTGCTGGCTCCAAATCATGATGTGATCCTTGTAAAAAATAACTGTCTATAAAGGTGCTGGCTCCAAACCATGATGTGATCATTGTAAAAAGTAACTATCAATAAAGGTGCTGGCTCCAAACCATGATGTGATCATTGTAAAAAGTGACTATCAAGGCTAAAGGTGCTGGCTCCAAATCATGATGTGATCATTGTAAAAAATAACTATCTATAAAGGTGCTGGCTCCAAATCATGATGTGATCATTGTAAAAAGTAACTATCAAGGCTAAAGGTGCTGGCTCCAAATCATGATGTGATCATTGTAAAAAATAACTGTCTATAAAGGTGCTGGCTCCAAACCATGATGTGATCATTGTAAAAAATAACTATCAAGGCTAAAGGTGCTGGCTCCAAATCATGATGTGATCATTGTAAAAAGTAACTATCAAGGCTAAAGGTGCTGGCTCCCAATCATGATGTGATCATTTGAAAAAACAGACTGAACTGGAATCACATGAATATAACCATACTAAATTTGTCAGCTTTGTACCATAATAAACAAGTAAGGGCCATAAAATGTGATCTACAAGCAGGTTCAGGTCTATTTTAAGGCTGAATCACCTGCCCCAATAGTCTGGCTTACTCACCTGTCACTGGTGACAATTTTATTACTCTAAGATGATGTTTAAATGGACGTGACATTGTTTACCTGTTTAGTCAGAATTATGGACATTAAAGACTTTTACACAATTCAATTATATTTTTAACACACCTGGCCCTAAGTGAGCTATAGGGATACCATGGCGTTTGTCCGTCATCCGGTGTCTGTCAACTTTTATTTTATATTGCAACTATTCATGAACGACTGAGCGGAATTGTATAAAATTTTGGTCTGAAACATCTATAGGGGAAGAGGAACCATTTTTGTGTAATTAGTGGGTCTGACAAGGCCCAGCAGGGAAAACCTATCAATTGGAATTGTAGGATATTGTCCAAAATTGCTCTATATTGGTAAAAGGTATCTCTGAAAACCAATTATCACCTTGTCTTTCTAAAACTAATTTTGATAGGTGATAACTGTCTTCCAAACACAGACAAGAGGCAAAGAATGCCTGTATTTCTTATCTGGATATTTAAGTCAGTGATGTTAAACTTTACATTTCTTCCCCTGATGAGCCTAACCCCACAGGTACACCTTCAAAGGATCTGTTATGATTGTGTTTATCTCCTGATGCTCAGCAATGTGTTTATCTCTTGATGCTCAGCAATGCTATAGTTATTCAGTGGGGATCACAACTGATTCAAAGAACCAATGCTCCAAATGAGTTGCTGATGGTGCAAAGCAATATTATGAAAATGAACTAAATCTACTTGGGGGTTAGATTTTCCTTGTTTGGCCCCACCCATCTGGCCTCAGAAGGCCAAAATCCACACTTTATACAAAAATTTCCCTTCACCCCAGATAATACCGATTTCAAAGATGATGGATGGTGAAAGAGTTGTGTTGCTTTCTATCCTTTTGTATGTGGACTATAACCTTTTAATGTCATTCTGACTTTTTATCATTGTGTTTACATTATTCTTTTTTTCTCATTTTCAACTTCATTTCCAACTAATGTTGATATTTTTTGGGGTATGTTCCAAACCAAGATGGCCTCCATTTTGAAAGGAATAACTTCCTTTTCAGTTTCATGTATGAAATTAAGCCAGAACTTGGTTGAGATGTTATAAGGGGAAGAATGCTGGCTGTACATTTCAGCAAAGTCAGATGTTTGATATGTAATAATATTACGCCAGTAGTTTGGTGTTTCAACAAGAAAATTACCATTGAGGCCCAAAGGCCTATCGTTCTGGATCTTTTAAGTTTATTAATATTGTTCAATCCTGGGTGAAACAACGAATAAAAAACATTTGTTTGATTTTGAACTTCAATTTCAGGTGTCATTACTTAATCTACAAAATATCTAGTATGCCATTACTGTTGTATCATGTTTCCTGGTAAAAATTCTTTATATTTATCATGTATGTTATGCTCCCATAAGTGTGGCAGGTTGTCCAGAAAAAAGGGAAATGATGACATATTTATGGTTTAATTGTTCATGTGTCTTTATCCTGTTCTCACAGCTGTACCGAGAGCTACGAGTTGTCCTTAAAAACTACCCAGACCTGGTGACAGACTTTGCAGGCTTTCTACTTCCGGAGCAGGCTGTGGAATGTGGTTGCTACATGACGACTCAGGAATTCATCCGAGCTAGGACCTTTCTTCGTAAACTTGAGGTACACTACACATACAGATGAGACTATATTGATATAGTGCAAAGAAAACTTGAAGTATATGGCACTGTTGTTACAGTTTAACGTATCAAGACCTCCTTATACAGGGGTGTGAGATGTCTTTTTGTTCTGTTAATTGATTCCGTAAGGATTTTACATTACCTGATATTTATCTTCATGTCAATTATAGCATCAGCATTGTATATGATTGTCCTAGGTTGAATCATTTAAAAATGTAAAATGCATCTGTCTATCCAGATTTTTTCTATGTTAAAAAGTAGCTCAAATGTTTGTCGGGATAAGTCCTATTGCTCTCCCTAACAATTTCCTGATAGCTGGGTGCACAGAAAATATAACTGGGATCATATATCTGCCACCAATTTGATACATTGATATGCTTGGAAAATTAAACACAAAAATAAAAGGATATTTACTTTGACAAGTAAGGAAAGATCACAAGTCAATAGTGGTCAGAAATTCTTTTAATGCTTCAAAAAATATTAACTTGTGGTCAACTCAAAAATATTCAGGTGGGCAAAATTATAACTCAAAGAAGAGAAAACTAGATGGTCAAAATAGTAAATTCGGCTATAAAGAAATTAACGGAATTGTCAAAATAAAAAAACAGGCGCAGAGCCTCCTAGACACTTAAATCTGATTTAACTTTATGCTCTCAGACCTACCTCTGTCCACATACCTTCTCCCAGATTGATAGCTTAGAATGAGCACCTGCAGGAACAGGGATATTGATTTAGGCTCTGCCCATCCATGTGTCCATCTGCTCGTGGAAGGGCTTTTCCTGGCTATAACTTCAAAACCGTTTCAACTGGACTTCACAAAACTTGCTCTATAAATTTAGTTAGTGCCCTACTTGTGCCTTTAGCTATTAACAACATTTATTTTTTATATTTTTTTCAAACCACAAAATAAGTATAAACTTTCCTTTCTGGGCTGCAGATTCGAAACCATTCCATTCAACTCCACAAAACATTTTGTATACATAAAGTTAGTGCCCTAGTAAAAAAAAATTCTGTTACCATGGAAACAGATTACACTCATCAAAAATTTCAGTTTATCTGGACCAGTGCTCTGAAACCATTCACGATAATTGCTCAAAACATTTTACACTTATTAAGCTAGTTAGTATCTTTTGCTATGGGAAAGTTCTCCATTTAAATACTTTTTGTGTTTCCATGGAAACAGATAGGCCAAATCACAAAGTTCAGTTTTTTCAGACCCAGTTCTCTTAAACAATTCAAGGTTATTATCTGGTACTCAAAACTTTGTACAGGCATCAAACTAGTACTCTAGCAGAAGTTCTCAATTTCAATATGAATTTCAAAGAGAAAATAAACATATATACATGTATATGATTGTTTGTCTTTCTTTTAAACAGCGGGATGCAGGGATAATGTCATGCTTTGCGTTCTTCCTTGTAAATAATCTATCTACCAGTTAAATTATTTGGCAATGTGACAACAGTTATAAACTTTGAATATTTGCCAGTCTCGGTAATATCTATATATTTCTAGAAAACTTTCTCTCTGTCCGTCCTTTCATGTCCAAAGCATAACTTTGCCTACATTTAAGCAAGGAGAAGGAAATTTGTGTACATATTGGTCATACTAAGATGATGTTCAGTGAACCTAAGTCAGGGTCCACAACCCCTTTATCATTGTTACTGCCCTTTGTTAATACTTTGTGTTCTGATCATAATTTTGCTTTCACTTGAAGTAGGACAGTGAACATGATGTTATGTAGGTCATACTAGGATGATGTGCAGTGTTCCAAATTCAGAGTCTACAACCCGTTATTGCCTTTTGTTAAAATTTAAGTGATGAAGTTGTTTTCAGGGAGTATTCATCAGTTTCACTAATACTCTTGTACCAAGATACTTTTATTCTCCAGGTACACTTTCACAGACACCCAACTCATTTCCAGAAGTGTCTCAAAATCCTTAGCTCCTGGTCTCAGTGTCAAAACAAAAATGCTGCAGAGCTGAAAGTTGCTCTAGAGCCTCTCTTGAAAGGACAGATTCACCTCCTGCAGGAGTTGTCTCTCTTCTTTAAGGAGGAACGCCCACCAGAAAGGTAGCAAATACATTCTTACACTCAGCTTAGTGTAGAAAAGTTAATTGTCTTAAATTATTGAATGATAATCTTCATTGTATATTTCTCATTCATTTGCTCTGTTTAGAAATACCTCTTTGATTTTGTGCCATTATAAGTTACAATTATATTATTTTGTGTAAAAATCTCAATATTTTCAGTTTAGGAATACAGAGCCAATTTATATATGTTATAAACATAGAGAATCAATTTATTTTTCAGTTATATGACAGACTATGAGGAGATAACTCTTGGTGAAAGCGACGAGGAGGCAGATTTTGATGGATTTGAGGAGGTGGAGTTGCCAGATGAGGAGGATACAAGTGGAACAAAGAAATGTCTGTGTCGTTGCCATAACAACCCTGCCAATACCAATTACTTCAAACGTAACAAACACTGCTACTCCTGTTGCCTTAAGGTATGTCATTGGTATGATATCGTTATTGTTAATGAGGGTGACGCTTAACTCAGTGAAGGACTGCAATTCAGGTTTCATGATTCCATTATGTTAGATGAACTGTCTTTAATTCATTTTGATCAGGCATTAGTCCTGCACTGGGAATTGAGAGGATTTTTTTACTTAAGCCTGTCCATCTTTCTGTCAGTCCTTCTGTCTGTCTTTTTCTGCTGTCTTGTCCTATGATATTAGTCAATGAGTTCTGGACTCTATCTCCTACTTGTTAATGGAACTTCATACTTTGGGTATGGGTTCAGCTTGGTGAAACAGTGTTATGTGTCATAAGTAGGTCACTTTGATGTACTTTTGATCTTTGACCTCCATCAATGTAAAAAGTAAGTCTTGGAACATGACTTAACTTGTATTGCATTCTTGGGATATGATTTCTTATTCAGTGAGGGGACTGTGATTCACTTAATTTTCCTTTTGCTTTTTATTTCAGGTTATTGATGGGGAGCTGTTTTATCGTGTGAATACAAAGGTGCTAAAAAAGGTCAAGGTCATATTTCACAAGCCAATTAAAGCAAGGTCAGTACAGAAAGAAGTGAATGATGATTCCAGAAACCATGGTAACAGGGAATGGTATGAGGATGATACAGCTGCTGCAGAAAAGGAAAATATGGATATTTCCCTGCTAGAAGAACCACCACGTACCAAGTCCATGAATAAAGTATGTACAATACATACTGTGTTGCAGATAGATATGCATTGCAATAATTAATAGATACAATTGAACTCTGTAATTATAATATGTTATATCGCATCTATTATCACTAACTCTTTCTGCAGTAACAGCTGAACTTTCTTATCTTATTTTATGTCAACTGCAAACAGTGTATTTTTATAACTGATGCTCTCAGTTTGTTTACAGCTTGTTTATTGTTTTTCTTTCTGCTTCAGTTGAAGATATCTTTGAAGAAAAAAGCTAAAGGAAGGTTTATGACATTGAATGAGATGGCAGAATCTCCCCTAAAAGGGTCAAGGTCAGTGTCACCAAGATCTGAGACTCAAAGGTCCAAGACTCCTACCCATGATTTGACAGGTCAAGCCACAACATCTAATAAAGGGGAGGGGCAGAGAAGGGGTGTGGCCACCTCCTTATTTGGTGTGACAGATGATGCATCCTCCTCGCACCAAAACAAGGATATTCTGGCACAAGATGTTTCTGTTGTTGGAAGTGCTGTCATCTCGGATCAAAGACCAGTTGAGTCAGGATGCCTTACAGAGGGACAGGGAAGCACCAAACCTTCTGTTGTACATGATAGTGTGACTATACCTGTTAAAACAGTGCAGATCTCAGATGCAGTTCAAACAAGTTTACCTGTTCAAACAGTGCAGATCTCAGATGCAATTCGAACAAGTTTACCTATTCAGATTGTGCAGAGCTCAGATTCCAGTGATATGAGGTTAGCTGTTCAGGAAGGGGAGACATCTGAACCAGCTGGTGCCAAATTACATTTGAAAACAGTAAATAAGTGCTCATATACACAAGCTAGCAATACAGAGGCAAGTGTCAGACATCTACCTACACATGTTTCAGTTAGTACTGTCCCTAGTTCAGTTGTAAATGCCAACTCCTGTTGTGACAATAATAGTCAGAAATCCTCTTCATCAAAGACATCACTTCCCATCAACTTAGATTTGATGATGGAGGATGCTAGCTTGTCACCCCAGAAACGTCTGATCCCAGCAATGAACCTGTTAAGACATGCAGGAGAATTTGGTTCTCCATCCAAGGACAGCACCTGTTCTGACATAGTGGCCAAAGCTCTGAAGGTGGCCATGATAGGACAAGGAGATGTCACCATGGATACAACACTTATGGAAGGTAACTCCAGAGGGAGTTCTAGTATTCTTGCCAAAGCTTTCAATGAGGCAATGATAGGACAAGGTGAAGGTTCCATGGATTGCTCTTTCATAACTAGTAGTACTAGTGCTTCACAATCAAACTTGACTCTGGAACTGTCCTCAAATAGTGCTTTTTCTATGGTCAGTTGCTCTGGATCGAACAATAGCCAGGGTACAGGTCAATTGATACATCAGGCTACTGCAGAATCATCTGTTGTCTGTACGGATGACAGGCAGAAGTTGGGATTTAGGAAAAGTGATGGAAATACTGTGAAGGAGTGTGTGTCTAAGATGAGAACTGATCAGTCTGAACAGACACTCAACAGAAGTTGTGTTGAAACATCCATACACAATACATGTGGTGACAATATACAGTCCACTGATGATGTGTTAAGTACAACTACACCACTTTCTGTTCCTAGTCAGTCATCTCTTTCCAACACGGAGACTTGTGTGTCCAGCTCTGAAGAAGGGTCAAGAGGTCAGGTCTGGTCAAAGTGAGTAAGCTAAGGTTCTTCATCAATCAATTTGATCTTACAATATTTCTATGAAAAGCTATTCTTAATTATTTTAAAATTACAATTTTATATTTTAAAGGTACATTTAATTTCTTTGATTGCATTCTGATTTATTCATTAATTTGCACATGAGATATCAATTATCTGAATTTATTTAACAGAGAAATGGACAGACAGATTTTGGAGTATGTGAAGGAAAGGGGTACATCCACTCAGACGTTTGATTATTTAGCTCAACAGTTTGGTAACAAAACAGGCAACCAGGTAGATATGATTTTCTATCTCTCTTATTACAAGGTTCTCATTGACCCTGAAATGTGAAAAAATGATAACAAAACAGGCAACTAGGTATATTTGATTTGTTATCTTGGAAAAAGTGTTTGAAAAATTGGTGATATCTATCATAAATGTATTTTCACAGTCAATAATTTCTATAATAATGATCTTTCACAGTCAATAATTTCTATAATAATGATCTTTCACAGTCAATAATTTCTATAATAATGATCTTTCCTAGCATAGTCCTAGATAATGGACACACACCATAGTGTGATCTTCAGGTTTGACTTGTTAGGTAATAACATATTGGGTCATGATAGACAGTAGGGCTTCAGACTCTTCAACATCTGATTGGTTTGATCCAATCTTGAGATGTCTTTCGTTTATTAAAAACCATGGATATAAACCCAAAATGACTTCAGCAACAAGTTTGATGTTGAAATATCCATTTTCTACAATACTTTGCTGAATAATCAATCGTGTGATAAAAAGAATTGTGTATTTGTTTCCATTTTTTATGTGATTTATGAAACAAATATTTCATTTTAGCTCACCAAGGCTTCCTTATGTTAAAAATTCTTTCATAAGTCAGTTGACACTTTCTGTAAGATTCTGTATATCTTACTCCTATAAAACAGTTTTGAGAAAATATGGAATTTGAAGATTAAGGAATATAAAAGAATATTCTTTCAGTTTTTATGCCAACAAAGTCTAGTTTTAGCTCACTCTCTTTATAAAATCTAGCTATGAGGTTTCGATGGAAAAATTATATAGGAAAAATTACCTTAAACAGAAGTAGGACAGACATTCAGAACAAAAACAGCTGATCAGAACAAAAGCAACGTACATTTTATTTACATCAATGAATCAGTCCAAGATACCAAAACACTTAAAGATCAGACTGAAGTAACTTTTATTTGCCTAATCATCATGGGTAAGACTTATAAATTACATTGAACATAATCATGTTTACGGATGTTTGAAACCTGTAATAAGGGATTTGTCAATTCAATGAATGAATGAATGAAATCAACAATGAATATTTCAGGTTTTGAGAAGATTTCAACACATGCTGGAATTACTTGCTGATGAAGAGACTGCCAGTGACAATGACACAAGCTCCTCTAGTAGGTCATCAGAACTCCAGTAGTCAACTGAAGACAACAGTAGTCAACTGAAGATAACACTAGTCAAGAACTCCAGTAGTCAACTGAAGACAACAGTAGTCAAGAACTCCAGTAGTCTGCTGCACACTGTATAAGGCAGTTCTCTGAACTCCAATAGTCTGCTGTACACTGTATAAGGCAGTTCTCAGAACTCCAGTAGTCAACTGAAGACAACAGTAGTCAACTGAAGATAACACTAGTCAAGAACTCCAGTAGTCTGCTGTAGACTATATTAGGCAGTTCTCAGAACACCAGTAGTCTGCTGTAGACTGTATTAGGCAGTTCTCAGAACTCCAGTAGTCTGCTGTAGACTATATTAGGCAGTTCTCTGAACTCCAGTAGTCTGCTGTACACTGTATTAGGCAGTTCTCAGAACACCAGTAGTCTGCTGTAGACTGTATTAGGTAGTTCTCAGAACTCCAGCAGTCTGCTGTAGACTGTATTAGGCAGTTCTCAGAACACCAGTAGTCTGCTGTACACTGTATTAGGCAGTTCTCAGAACTCCAGTAGTCTGCTGTAGAATGTTTTAGGCAGTTCTCAGAACACCAGTAGTCTGCTGTAGACTGTATTAGGTAGTTCTCAGAACTCCAGCAGTCTGCTGTAGACTGTATTAGGCAGTTCTCAGAACACCAGTAGTCTGCTGTACACTGTATTAGGCAGTTCTCAGAACTCCAGTAGTCTGCTGTAGAATGTATTAGGCAGTTCTCAGAACACCAGTAGTCTGCTGTACACTGTATTAGGCAGTTGGAAGAACACCAGTAGTCTGCTGTAGACTGTATTAGGCAGTTGGAAGAACTCCAGTAGTCTGCTGTACACTGTATTAGGCAGTTCTCAGAACTCCAGTAGTCTGCTGTAGACTGTATTAGACAGTTCTCAGAACACCAGTAGTCTGCTGTACACTGTATTAGACAGTTCTCAGAACTCCAGAAGTCTGCTGTACACTGTATTAGACAGTTCTCAGAATTCCAGTGGTCTGCTGTAGACAAAATGGTTTAATTATTTCTCAGGACACTGTCTGATACAGGAGGTTCTAGTCAGTTCTGTGGCAAGATAAATCATAACTCAAGAAATCCAGATATCATTGTTTTTTATTTATTTTTGCTGTATTAGATATATATTGCAAGCAAACCCATTGTTGATATATAGAGGAGCAAGCTTTGATTTTGTGTTTGCAGTATACTTCATTAATGAGATTAAATATGTAAAAGATCATCAAGAAATGTTACAATATTAACTGTTTTGTTAACAATCATGATTTGACATATTGCTGCGGCTTTAAATGTTTCCAAGGTTGTTTTGTTATAGTATTGAAATTTCCCAGTCATGTACTCGCTGTACTTGCACTAAATAAAATACTGTAAAAAAAGTTTTAAAAATTAATAAAATTTTATTAAAACTATGTTATTAGCTTTCTGTTTTTGTTAAAGTATTTCTTCTTTTTTTTCTCTCTTTATTTTGTTTTGTTATCCTGGGATCATTTTGTCTGAAATTTTTCATGTATTTCAAACATAAGAGGTTGTTTGTCATGTTGATGATGTTGTTACCTTGATATACATCTGTTAATGGTAAAATTTGTCACTCAAGTGTAGAACATAATTTGTCTTAAATCTTAAAGTGACTGGCTGGCTTATCAGACAGAGAGTTTAATTGCGGTCACCTTAGTGTCAGAATCAAGCCGTGAAACATTGGCTGGACATGCTCTACACCAGTGAGACATTAACTGTTCACGGTTTGATTGTAGATCAGTAGAAGACACTTTCCCTTTTGGAATTAGATTATAATTACTTTAGGATAAACTGTAAGATTACAGCAAATAGAGTCAGTCCTGGTGTGGCTGTGGAAGGAGTAACTTGTTAAGCTCAATACTCTGGCCATACATGTTATCATTGTTGTAACTTGTGCTAATACTCAACATTTGTACTTGAGAACGGTTGTTGCTGGTCTTTTGTATAACATAAGGATAGTACAACATAGAGTGGTAACAACATCCAAAAAAGAGTTGAGGTCAGTCAGTAAGAGCTATGACTAGGGGAGCCTCATGTGAAGATTCAAGATGTATGGTCCACTGTTCCCTTCTCAGGGCCAATAATGTTCCTCAGGAGGCTGATACTTTGTCCTCATTGCTCTGGGTGCCATGTGACATGCCTCCTGTATGTTGTTCAGTGAAGAAGCTGCTAAATGCTGCAGTCTCAAAACAACACTAACTGTTCACAGAGCAACAAACTAACAAACAAAGCAGAAATCACCATGTTAATCTTTAATTGCCAAATCCAAAGTGGTCGCCTGGAAACCACCTTGTTTCTTATGATCAGTCCCAAAATTAAATGGGTACAAGTAGAGAACAAAAGGAACATACATATGAAATTTGAGAGAGATCCATTCTGTACTTCTTAAGAAATATGTATAACAAATTTTCGAAGTCAAAATCCAAGATGGCCGCCTGTATGCCTTTTTTTTTCTGATCAGACCCAAAATCAATCGGGCACAACTAGGGACCAAGTGGAATCTACATATGAAATTTGAGAAACTTCCATCACGTTCTTCTCAAGAAAAAGCAATAACATACTTGCAAAGTCCAAAATCCAATATAGTGGCCTGTCAGCCATTTTGTTTTTTGATCAGTCACAAATTTGAATGGACACACCTATAGAAAATGGGAACCTACATATGAAATTCATGCAAGATCCATTCAGCACTTCTCACAAAATGGGGAAAACAAACTTGCAAAGTCAAAATTCAAGATGGCTGTCTGTCGGCCATTTATTTTTTCTCATCGGTCCCAAAATTAGATGCGCACAACAAGAGACCACGGGGGTGAAATTTGAAAGAGATCCACCCAGTACTTCTGAAGAAATAGCAATAACAAAAATTATTTACAGACGGACAGACCACAGACATGGGGCGATTTGAATAGCCTATCATCTGATGATGGGCTAAAAATGGAAATGAAACAAATGTCCACTCAAAAAGCCACTATTAAAGCAAAGCTTCTCGTTACAATTCAGTCTACCACATTTAAAAGGAATCAGTTTCTCGCATCTCTTATGTTCGCTTCCATTGGTCCCAGATATTGATACTAACAGCCATTTTTATTTCTTGTGGTATACTAGGTAATCTTTTATTCTCATATTCCCATGTATGTTTCCATTGGTCCCTGATTGTGACCTTTTGATTTTGGGACTGATAGGAAATACAGAATGGCTAATAGACATTTGTCATGGAGTTAGTATCACCACTTGTAAGGGCCGTCATGTCCACTGTACAGGTTGGGTTATGAATGATTTTGTATTCAGACTTGATGTGTGCACAAAGTCTTGGTAGCTTCATAATTCATGGATACACCATTCATTCTGAATATTTGAAATATTTCCTCAGTTTTCTTAATAATGAACACTACCTGAATGTTTAAGAATATCATTTCATAATTTGTGATATTTTGGGCTGAGCTGGGTCATAATCTGTTTGATCAAATGTCCTTTCTCAGGCAAATATGTATTCCAGAGGGTCAAGAAGACCTATTGCTATCATGCATCATCCATTGTTGTGCGCCGTCTTGTAAAATATAACTCCTGCTTAATTACCTAGGCATATTTCAACCATATGTGGTCTGAAACATCGTTGGGAGTGGAGGATCATTTCTTCAACTCAGAAATTTGATTTAACCCCTAGGGTTCTGGGGATGGGATCCAAAAGACTAGTTAGACAATACTTTGCTTCAAAATGCTACTCTTCCTTAATGCTTGAATGGATTTCATTCTGATTTTGTCTGCAACAGCAGTAAGGGCCATCTTATCTCAAAATAACAAAGTTTGAACCGATACCAACAGAAAATAAATATTCAAAAATGTAATTTTCCTATATAAACTATAGTAAACTTTACTCCCTCCCCAGGGGGAGATGTGAGACACTGGGGTCATAAAATTTACAACTGTAGTAAACCATCTGAGGGTCTTTTCATCAATGGAGAGTGCTTGATTCTACCTTACTTCAGATTTGAGAAGATTTTTTAAATTCCAGCCAATTTGACCTATTTTTGACCCCGCCAACCAGCCCATTGGGGTCAGTCAAAGTCAATATATGGATCTCATAAAACTGTCGTCTAAAACTAATAATTATTACAGGTTTGAAAATTTCCAATAGAAAATTAATAATGCTCAAATATGTAATTTTCCTATTTAAACCATAGTAAACTTCACCCCTTTCCAGTAAAGCTTCTGAATGATTTGCATCCATGAAGAATACTAAATTTTACCATACCTAGGATTTGAGATTATTTTTTTTTGGTCCCTGCCCCTCAGGTCTTGAGGGTTGGGGACCATATAATTTACAATTGTGGTGTGCCTTCAGCCATGGAAGGTTTTTGTAAAATTTCATTGAAATCAGTTCACGAGTTTTCCAGAAGAAGTCGCAAATGTTAAAAGTTTAGACACATGTTGCCGGAAAAAAGGGGATCACAATAGGTCACCCTGAAACTTTGCCTCAGGTGGCCTTATTAATGTTTATATGTATGTATGGATACCATACCAGTCTGATTCACTTTGACAACATATATGAATGAATTATAACAACTACTTCCAAAGATTCAGTACAAAAATATTTATTTTTACGGATGGAGATTCTTAATTAAGTGGCAGTGTTTCTAACGCACATTCAATCCTACATTCATTACAATCATTGTGAATAAAACAATTACATTCAAACTGACACTGGAATGTTTAAATGAAAAAAAAACTATATAATTAAATCACCATTCACAAGCAAAAGCAATATCTGCCCAATCTGATTGGACCAATAAGATGATAATTCAGCATACACACTTGCAAAGATAATCAGTCAAAAATAAAAAAAAAAAAAAAAAAAAAATTGGTCAATTAAAATACTGCTGAAAAAATGACGCCACAAGACATTGTAGAATCAAAATATTATTGTGGAAAACACAATTACAAGTCATGGTTGTAAAGACTACCAAGTCTGATAGGGACGTCAATGAAAACTGAGAAAGGAGATCTCTGGACAATATTAATACTGGAGGTTAAGATGAAAACTCTTCCAAATGCAATTGAATTAAATTGATTTCAAGAGAACATAAATGCATCACATAGTGATTTAAAACCTACCAAGTTTGAAAGAGTCTGGTTGAATACTGTGGGAGATCTCTGGACAAATAAAAGTTAACAATGGTCTAATGGATGATGCCATACATGTACCATATTACTCGACTGATTAAGATGGCTAATCTGTAGAGCTGTCATCTGTCACAATCATTTTAAGCAATATTGTACAAAAGAAGTCACCACTTAATGTAACTTAATTGGTGAACCATTTTCTATAAATTTGTCATATTTTGTGCAAGGTTGATAAAAATTCTGTAAGAAATGATTTGGGTAAAGTGACATTGACCTGGCTGTGATGAACATATATGACCTATTTGCCCTTGCCCCCATAAAATGGTGAGGGCATAAAAACATAACTGGGATTAATTAACAAAAATATCTCAATATCAAATAATTTTTCTACAGATCATAAGTCCTTTATATATGATAAGTTCATATAAAATAACAAACCAACAAGAAACATATTCAGAAAAGAAACAACTTTGTTGTCAAGTTTTAAATTAGTAATAAATATCAGGTTTCTATTGTGAAGTAGTGAAAAGTTGCCCACAGGCCTTAACAGTTATCTGACTAAAAAATACTTAAGCAGGGAGAAGGGTTATTTTTTCTACTTTGAATCAAATCTTACTAGGAAGCTGTTTTTCATGATGCAGATGATAGTTTTGGTGAGGAGTAGGTAACTGTATCAAGTGTAACCTATTTTTGACTGTAAAGTTGGAGCTCAATCCAACTGGTGAAACTTGAGAAGTTTGAAATAGGTGTTGAACAGGAAACCATGATTACACATTCATGTTACAAAATGGCCTCCCTGGCTGCTGTATCAAAGTTTTGACAAGGTTAAGAAATAACAACACTTTGTTAGCTACCTTTCCTTAACATTCCCACCAATGTTTAGCTAAGTGACACCAGTGGAACTGGAGAAGTTTACAATATGTTTTTCAATATGATGGCCATCTTGGATTTCAGACATACCTGAAATATAACAACACTTTGTCAGGACCATCTCAGAATCATTTCATGCAAGTTTGAGCTCAATCCCATTGTTTGAACTTGAGAAGTTTAAAATGTCAAAAGTTTACCGAGGCCAACGACAACGAACAAAGCACAATGGCTGTAGGTCAGATGACTTTAAACTTAATTAATTTTTAAAACATATACCCAAATGAACACACAGAAAATACTAGTGATTTCTCCCATTTTTGTACATGACTATATTTGTTACATCAGCATCTCTCACTCAACTCATCTTTCACATACATGACTAGTTACCGCAAGATCACATCTCAATATATGATGTCACTTTTGGCACAATGTTGTCCTTCCTTACAACATATTACTTCGCATCAACAACTGAGATTTTTTTTTAAGACATTCTTAAATGAATAACAATCAAGAAAAATATATGATAATGTTAATCCCTATGTCATACTATGTCATGTTTTGGTACACAACACTGTTCAATGGTATGATTAATAGTCATGTTTGGAGAAAGCAATTAAGGATAAACTCTCTCTGTTGGGCTATCAGGAAAGAACTACAATTGAACTGTGGTACATTGAGTAAAAGCTAAAATTTGTTGTTCAGAATTTACCCCTGATGAGTAACAGATATCCGCTGATTACAAAACAAAATAGAAAAATAATTCTTACCTTTACATCTTAACTCTTCCTTACCATGGAGTTTGTTTTCTTCTGGCCCAAAGTTTAAAGACTTGAAATAGCCTACTGTTTTAACCTATCTGATATCACAGTAACACAGCAAACAACAAACTTTAAATCACAATGTATGTATTTAAGCACTAGGTACATTATTCAAACAGTTGTTTTATAAAGACCCTGTAAATAAAACCTCAATATTTTCACAATGGTTGGCAAGAAGATGAAGATTCAGAGATCCATTTTAAATTAAATCTCATAACTGTTATTCATAAACACATAACACTTTGCACACATGACAGAGACTAGCATGAACTATGTACAATATATTATGATAATGGGTGTTACAAAAGTTATATATTGTCGATTACCGTGGTAACTGTAATTTTTTCTAAAATCACATGATATTTTATCATATTTCAATCAATTTCACCAAGTCGTCTTTTTTTCATACCTGTCAGAATCATGTTTTGATCATTATGTTTTGGTAACGAACCAGGCCCATGTTGCTCTAAGCTTGACTAGAGATAACCAGAGGTTATGGAACATACTTCATCATCACAGCTGTAGATTTATTTAGAAAGGTCAGAATGTCATTTTTTTAGTGTCATTTTATCTTTGGATGTCCATGAAGACAATCTTACCACATTTTTCAGTGTGTTTTGGAAATCAAACAACATACATATTTAATCTATCTAATACCAAGTCATGCTTTGGTTAACTATGAACTTAATTTATTAAATCATTTTACATTAATGGTGGAAGAAGTGGTCAGCTTAACTCAAGCTTTTAACAAGTGACTGGTGGCCTTATTGTGAATGTTCCCAAGATAAACCTATATGGCTGGGCAAATGTCCCCATACCTAGCCAATCCAACATGGAAATAAAATCCCAATCACCAATGGTGAATAGTGAGTGTTTCCATTGTGCCATAGACAGACATCTGGACAACCTGATTTTAACACACACCCCCCCCCCCCCCCCCCACACACCCCCAATAACTTTGTTGCTGAGGGTATAATGATATGTTATTTAGTAAAGTGTACTCCATGGTAATGACCTTTGTTCTAGTAAAGCCGTAACATTTTAAAGTATCAGTCATGCATGCTAATGTTATGATTTTTTTCAGTATCAAGTCTAGTATAATGAGACATCACCTCCTCAGCAGGACAATTGTCCACATCCAACCAACATCCTGAGATATGATTCCTCTAGTGATTATTATGCACAGTTATTATCAGGAAGTATGAAAATGTCAACTACCCCTGATAAATTTAGAACACACACATTACATAGCGCTACATTCTGCATTGTGAATTAATTCACCACACTTTTTCTCCATTCAAATAATACATAATTATACATTATTATACATAATCAAAGTCGATTGAGGGGAATTTCTTCTGCGGGAGCATGACCATTCTCCAAGTTCACTGCCATATCTGTATCATGAGGTTTTCCGATGTTATTTTCTAGATTATCCGGCAAGGGCTTTCCAGCTGTTTCTGGCAAAAACAGAACTAATAATCCACACAGCAGTGCCAGGCTTCCAAACACAGTGAATGGCAGTGCCTTGGAATAATAATTCTGTCAAGCAAATGAAAATAAAGCTGTATGTCTGGTACCACAAAAGTAATTACAATGTAAAACATATGGGACGTATCACCTTCCAAATCTTACTGTTACAATAAACATATGACACTTGTACACAATTTTTCTGCTCATTTTTTATGACAACTGAACATTACTGACTGGCAGCTGATCTTATTTTCATTTTTTCATAACAAATACACTGTAATACATTTCTATCCTAAAACTGTACTGAAGATTTGGTGTTTTTTCCATGTTTGTCAACAATGAATTAATCATATATTGATTTCAAATAGTAACTTAACATGTAGCACAATTAGCCTTTAGGATATCTCTTTGACTACCTGACTCTTAACATGCTATCGATCAGATAAATGATACTAAACCCTACAACAGATTCTGCTAATACATACAGTGTTTTGTGATAGGATACCTGTGTAAATCTATCTTAATCAATTTACTTGGTATCTCCAATTATTATTCTAATTCACCTTGGTCAACTGATCATTAATTATTTATCATATGAAACTCAGCATTTATGTATGCATGTGGTCATTGGTCAACTGTCATATCTTTGGAAATTCTCCTGAAAAGGCAATATTTCAGAAAAGGTCCAGTTGAACATGTACATACTGACATATCTCCACTCACCAATTGATTGATCTGTGGTGCTACAATACCTCCTACACGTGCTGCCATGGAACAGGCCGCAATCCCTATGTTTCTGTAGAGAAATGACATGTTAGATGAGATTCATCAAAGCACTTGCATATTTCAGCAATCATCCCACAATATTCTCATTAGAACTCTTCCTGACTGATGGTCTGCCTATGATATTTGCAGTCCATGTCTCCACATTGACATTGAAATTCAAAAATTGTGTTGGATTCCTTTACTTAAACAGTGTTTGATTTCCGGTTTTATGAACTAATTTTTCTTCAAAAGAGTTTTTTTTTTGTGAGAAATACATATACCCTATAAAATCTAAAAACCAAACCGCAGCTTATGTTCTTTATCATTAATAATAAGACTGGCTTATTATTGAGGTGTTTTGATGTCTGAATACCTGGCCAATACCAGGAAAGGTGATACAACCATACCTGTCCTTTCGTAGCAACCAATGAATCAGATTATCTGAACTATAAGAGGCTATACCTATATATTTTCATCTACAAGTTATAGTGTCTTTCAGCATTATTTGATATTAATGATGGGTTGAACGTCTGTAGGGGAGATGTACATACCTAATAATTGTTGGAAAATTCTCAGCAGATGAAACCTGGACAGCTGCCCATCCTCCAGAGATTCCTGACTTTCCTACCATAGCAAACACAATAACTAGTATCTGCATGGACTCCATATTTCCTGTAACCAAACAAATGTCACAAGTAATACACATGTGCAATCAAGATAAATCTCCTGCATTAATGAAGCAAGAGTACCAGTAAAACTAATTAATGCTCCCCGAAAACAACTGAATGGGACACAAAATTTCAACAAAGGGAAATAATTCTGTAATTAAGTGCTAGGACTCTCTGAATTCAGTATACTGCACATTTCCTTAGTACAACCAATGTCTTCACCAAGTTTCATGATCCTAGATTTAATACAAGAAAAGCTATGCTAATGACACAAGATTTCAATAAAGGGCAATAACTCTGTAACTAAGGGGTCGTGGGCCTTGACATTACTACACTTAACCTTGGTTTTGTATGACTGATGTATATATCACATTTCAATATCTTACTGGCAAAGTAATGCCCAAGACAAGAACGTTTTAAAGAAAGGGCAATAATTCTGTAATTAAGGGGTTGCCGGCCCTAACATCTGTACACCACACATTGTCTTTGTATAATCAATGTATTCACCAAATTTCATTATACTAGCTTAAATGCAAGCAAAGTTATGCTCTGGACAAGATGTTTTTTGAAAAGGGCAATAACTCTGTAACTTAGTGATCAAGGGCCTTGTATTTGGTACGTATCTCAGTGACCAGTTGTTAATCATGATTTTTACTGAGACAAGGCAACCAATCAGATATTTTAAATAAAATTCTTCTAATTTTAAAAGAAAACTTAGTGATATTTAATGAAGGTTAATCAAATATCAATATGATAAACAAAATCAACCCAATCCTGGTGCGTTAATAGATCCACAAGTCTTCCATTTTTATACACCTTTCATGAAATGGCCATTGGTATATTGCACCTCCCCTGCCGATCTATCCACCAATATGATGTATCAACAGGTATATATCTATATCTGGGAGACTAAATATGCAATCTCTCTGTGATTAATATTAAAACTTACCTGTGAGATCAATTATGAAGATGACAAAGCAAGCAATTCCAGCCAAGATCATTAAGGAAGCTATTGTCCAGCGACGTCCTATACGGTTGTTGACAACGATAACGTAAATGAGAGCTGGGATCTCAACAAGACCAGCTGTGAATGTGTTGATGTAAAGGTCTCCAGCAAGGTTACTGGTATTGAAGTTCAACCCATAATATACAGAACTAGACACAAACCTGTAATATCAAAATTAACTTGTCAATTCATAACTGGCCTTAAACCTGTAATACAAGATCAAAGTTCAAACCTTAATACAGAACAAGATACAAACCTGTAATACAAAGTCAATGTTCTAACCTTATTCCTGAGCAGGACAAAAACTTGTAATACCAAGTCAATGTTCTAACCTTATTCCTGAGCAGGACAAAAACTTGTAATACAAAGTCAATGTTCTAACCTTATTCCTGAGCAGGACAAAAACTTGTAATACAAAGTCAATGTTCTAACCTTATTCCTGAGCAGGACAAAAACTTGTAATACAAAGTCAATGTTCTAACCTTATTCCTGAGCAGGACAAAAACTTGTAATACAAAGTCAAAGTTCTAACTTTCATACCAAACTAGACACAAACTTGTAATACAAACTTGTGATACAAACTAGACACAAACTTGTAATACAAACTTGTGATACAAACTAGACACAAACTTGTAATACAAGATCAAAGTTCAAACCATAATGCAAACTTGTAACAAAAAAGTTTATGTGAAGTTCCGTCAATAATACACACAATTAGATATAAACTTGTAATGTCAAAGTTTAATCCAAGGTACACTGTAGTGGACACAGAGTTAGCACTATAGTCAAAAGTCAATCATCAAAACACATACACCTAGTGATGTTTAAGTCAGTGATGTTCAGGTCATAGATAAAGAATTCATAAAACTATTCCCAGAGAATGACCAAAGAGAAATACTGTCCCCTCTCCCACCTCCAAAAAAAGAAAGATGTAAGTAAGCTTACCATGCATACATCACAATAAGTGTGTGTTTTGCCATGGTCCTTGTTTTAAACAAGTGTAGATAGTTATACTGCTTCTTCTCCACCAATGACTCTTGCTCCCTCTGAAAACAGTGAGAAAAATTCTTAGCTATCATTGACAACAATGAAACACCATATATTTATGACTAGAAAAAGACAACAAAAGTCAGTCTTTTCCTGTCGTTCTCCCAACAAACACATGAAAGAATCCTACGACATATTTAGTAGAAGCACATCAGCCAGGTAGGTAAATTTCAGAATGAAATCATAGTCAGACAAAAAACTCTTGAAAGCACAAAATTAGAACTTGAAAGCAGAAAATTGCAACAAGCGTTAGCCATAAGGTATCCTTTCATAAAATTGTCAGGGAAAAACATGGCCATTCATGGTAAGAACATTTCTGACATATAAAAACTGCTTATACATAGTGTCATTTTTACAGATTTATGGCATTGTATCCTGTATAATACTAGTAGTGATAAATATGTTATATTAACTGCAAACAATGAATGATGAAGATAATGATATTAGATTTAATATGCTGAGGGAAAGTGAGGCTGGAATCTTAGGATCCAGTCCCTGTAAAGTTGTATAAAGTGTTAATCAGACACTAACTCCTCCAGTTATTGTCATGGATGAAGTGGTAATGTGATATATAATGCTTATTACTAAATGACAATATCCTAACCATCTGAAAGTTCAGGAATACAAAAATATTCTATGCTACCTATCAGTGGATTGGTGGTGCAGTGGCAAGGTTTTCCACTTTCAACTTGCCCAGCCAATATACTGCTAGCATTTTTTTTAAGTTACTCCATTTTCCTTCTACAGTAAGATCTCTTGTGCTTTTTCGTTCAGGCCAATAAGAGTGATTACTGGTAATAGATGTTGGTGAAACTTATTCCACAGCTGAGATTTTTATTTCTTTACCTTTGTATAGATGTGAAGCTGTTCAAAATCCTCTTCTGACAGTGTGGCACTGTTATAATCAGCCATTGACATGAGCAAAACTTTGGCTTCAGCAAATCTTCCTTTGCTTAGCAACCATCGAGGACTTTCTGGTACAAACCTGACAGAACAAAAGACTATGATAATGGATTTGGAAATAATATTCAACTTCAAGAACCTTATGAAAAAAAACAATAATAAGGAACTCCAATCACAGAGGATAAAAGAGAATTATTGTTAATACTGTAATTATATGTCTGTCCTGCCTAGTTAAAGAAAATGCACACTATAATTTAATCCCCTTTTCTCCCCACAACACATCAAACTTTCAAGTAAACTTCATTTAACATACCAACACCATAGATTGTCATGTTTAAATAATGATGCATTATAAAAAAAGTAAAACATGAAAAGATGATTTTGTAAATTCTTCACTTCTCAAAACTTTGTGCTTTTTCAAAGACAAATACACAAAAGCACTACTGATCAATAAAATAGGATTCCATGGAGAGGTGACATTTCACATAAGATTTATGAAATGGGTCTTTAATCATTTCATTCATGACATGACTTAACAATGTCATAAGAAACAGAAATACATTTGATTCCTAACTTTTTCTTGTTACATGATCAAGACATTCTCTAGAGTGTTGAGAGAAGCATGTTTATCCATATCATTCTTCAAGTTTAAATATATCTTCTTGCCTAAATATATCTTATCTCAATATTTACAAATAAAATATATTGATATACCAATATATATGCATTGAAATATGATCTAGAAGTGTCTAATACCATGATATGGTCTATGGACAGCCTATTGACTGGGTAGATATCTGGTAGATCCTGGTGCCACTATCACAAGTTATTAGGCTATTGGATGTACTATCTACACAAGTTTATATACAAACTATCTGATATATTCAGACCCTGAGTTTAGTCCCTACACCAGCTTTTGGTGACACTGAACGACAGATGTCCACATCAGTGAGATACATGTACCTGTGTGTCAAAATATCTAAAGTGTCTTCATAGGATCTTTACCTCCAGGACAGTAGCATGGGTAACCCAGTAAGTGCTGTAGCCATGACAAGTGTCCTCCAGTCACGTAAAAAGAACCCCCACAGAGCAAGGGTCATCAGTCCTATTGCCCAGAAACCAACACAACCACAAAATGTCCGCCAGCTTGGGGTCACAAACTCCAGTGGCAGCACAAAGTTTACAACCATCACCCCTAGAAAGGAACAAAAAGAATGCCTTCAAGTACAAAATATAGTTTATCTTCATTGGGCTAATATTTCATGCATGTCTCTGTTTTGGCTCATTAACAGGAAATAAAAGTCCATGCTAATCTGCCTTAGCAATAAACAGAATGGCTAGCTTTTACCTTGATTTCCATATATACATTGATAAACATTTCCTGAGATTCATTGTAAAATATTTGCTGGGTGTTTTCTCTATCTTCAATCAAAGTCAATATAATAAAATCATATCCCTCACAAAAATCACCCTCTATATTGTAATGACATTATTTTCTTACCTGAAACCCATCATGACACATCAGCAAGCAGTACAATTGTGACAATGAATTTCAGGATTTCAAAGATGAATTCTGTGAGATAATTTTGCAGGTTCAGTAAAATATTCAACACAGTAAAATGTCAACAATGTTTTCAACTTCACAAAGAAACTTATGATGACCTGTAAAAACACTTAGTAAAACAAAGTCTTACCACCCACCAATCCACCAGTCAGAAATCGCAAAGCTGCAAAAACCTGCCAGCCGGGAGAGAATGCGCTGCCAAGGGAGACAATCAGCATGGTAATGTAGGCCAGAAATAAAACTTTGCGACGTCCAAATATGTCAGCTAACTGGCCTGTGATTAATGCCCCAAGCAACACACCACACATTTGTATTGTAGAGATGATTTTTGTCAACTTGCTCTTGTCACAGACGAGCTGCCACTTAAAATAAACAAAAAGAACTAAATCAGTCTTCTTAATCTCAAATGTCACTAAGTCAACGTTCTCCATCAATCTGAATATTTACAGTAGATTTTTTTCCTTCAACTTATTTCTTTTCATTCCTGGAAATTGTCAATTTTTTTATTAGCATTTCCAAGACTGTCATTCCAAATTCCACAACATTTTCAATTATTGTATTTATCCCAGTGAACCAACACATTTCTTCTTGCATGAAGTTAGGTGGTGGGCTTAATGAAGAATAATCATAAAATAATTTTACTGAGTAACAATATGAACGAGTTGGAATACTGCCTTGTAAATATGGAAAACTACGAAATGGACAAAATGCTTTAAGACTTTGTTAAAAACTTCAATAAAGCAATGATTCTTACAAAAATAAATCAGAACAGAGAACTACAGTATCTATAATCAACCTGTACAATTACCATAGAACAAATACATGAAATTTCAAGGTTTACATTTCACAGATTGCCCCAGATTCCAGTAAAAAGAACTCTTATTTTTCATTGAACTAAAGTGTCTGCTTTCATGAAAATCTTAATACCTCACTAACTATGGAAGTGAATGACCCATCAAACTGTAGTCCTGGGCACTGCATTCCGTCTGGTAGGCACTTGTTGACCATCAATGAACTGGAATTAGTGGCTTCAGACAGGTTCACAGAGGAAGTATTGTTGTGTCCAAAACCTGAACATGTCCAATCAGGAGTGGCATGTAGAATTATTGGGAGTAACATGGCCCAGGCTGCTGGGGTTTCGAACATGCTCACCAAGACGAATACACGCCTCTGGAATGGCCCAAAAGAGCCAATTTTATGTAGAATGTTCTCATATTCTGACATTTTTGTTAATGAATACAACTGCAGTATCACTTGTTGAAAAGTTGACTCTCATTCATACCAGCCACATCAATACTTTCAAGAAGAAATCTGAAATTTTAGAAGAAACATTGTTATTGACTATAATCTATTCCATTTTTCGTAAGACAAAATATTTGTCTCCTAATATGATGAACTCTTAATAGGTGACACTCATATATTGAAGGCCTAATATTTTGAATGCCAAGTACTCTGAATAGTGCCTACCTATTATTATAAAGGTGCAATATCCTGAAGGCTCAAAGGCCTAACTGCCTACAGGCCTAATAACCCAGGCCTTACACAGATTGAAAACGAAATTTAATGGAGGTTTTATTATCTTTAGAATTTGGAAGTAACATTTTAATACATCCCTACTTTTTACTCTATTTATAAACATTCTCCTCAACTTTAAATTCCTCTTAAAAATCAAATTCTTTCAAGCAGAACTTTGACACAAAATAAAGTTGTTTACAAGTATTTAAAATTTGTTTTCACAAAATTTTATAAAAATAAGCAATTGTCCAATATTGTTACTATAGAAATGGTACTATAGATAACGTGCATCAAGAACAGACATAATAAATTGTATTATGCACCTCTAACAACATAGCCAGCATAAACAGTAAGCAACAAGGGCCATGTTGTGAAGACAAAGGAAGACAAGACAGAAGAAATACCAACCATATATGTGAATTGAATTCTTATCTATTATATCATTTTCTTTTGATATTACTACACATAAAAAGTGTGCATATACCCTCTTGTAAAGAAATAACACTTGCAAATGGCAATTAGAGCTTAGAACATTACATAAAAGAATTACCCTTCGGCTACCAGTATGTCAGTGCAGCAGGCTTTTTGGTTATCAGGGTTTTAGAGTAACAAGCCTTCAGAATACTTAAGGGACCCCCCCTGAATTTCTATACTCCAATGGTCTGATACTCTGAATATAGATAATACTGCATAACAGATTTATTATGCAACACACCAATTTTGACATCTGACCAGAACACCAGGTACCTAATTTTATTTTCCATCATATTTCGTTTTGTTCTTTGATGATCAAGAACTAAAATTACATGTAATCATTCCTCAATTAAAATTTGTCACAGGAGTAATTTCCCTATGTTTGCATTCTTATCAGAAAAAATGTGAAAATGAGAGACTGGAATAAAAAGAAGCCACTCATTGGTATACTGTTTTATCAGCCCTGCTGTTGAATTACATTTCTTCCAATTTATTTATTTATTTTAAGGGTTTACATTCACTATTATGGCCTGTAATATAAAGGTTTAATTAATGGAATGCAAGCATATTATATATACATCACGTCTAACTATTTTTCTCGTTTGATGAAAGTGTGATCTATCACACCTTTGCTATTTAATGATTTAACAGTTACAAGGCAAAACAGTATAATGTATCCGTGTCCTCAATTTGCTATTATAAAATCACATTTGAATTATCTCCCCTTCAAAAGCATAAGTCCGTGTGCATTTTTCTACAGGTCACAAGTAAAAATGAATTCAGAACTTGACATTTGACTCATATTGTCTTTATTTCAAATTTAAAAAATGTTGGTATCACGTAATTTAACACTGTAACTCCACGGTATCATATGCCTTATACCACTGGACTACAAGTATTTACAGACAAGGCCAGTACCCATGTTAGGGCCGCTTTCGTTTACGTAGACACACCGGTTTCGTTATATAAATTTCAGTATAAATCGAGCCGAATCTGAAGAAGTTGACTGATATGAAAACAGTATGTTTATCCATATTTCATACCGAACCACGACCGGTAGGGTCAACCCTGTAAACGAAAACGGCACACATTACACGATGTTCTGAGCCTGTCCAGTTTGATGCAAGATGTTTTACCATCAGCTGACTGTTTTCTGCTGTGTCGTAAAACTCCATCAACTCGACACGTCTACCAATGATTCCACTCACCACGGTGAACAACTTATATACCTACGAAACATTGCACCATCCTTAGGTTCGATTGTGAAACCGATGTTGTTATTGCAACACACTTTGAAAACATATCCACGTGAGAGCAACGCTTGATTCTTTTGGCTTAATGGACTTACGTTTAAAACACTTGAATGATGAAGTCTTCGAACACGTGTTTCCGAGGTTCAAAGTCTATCATTAAAAATAGCTGCGTGACATGTTGGGGGTTCCTAAATATCTAAATATAAGATTATAATTATTTGAACTCGCACAATGTTAGTGTATGTTATATATGATTTTTTATACACGTGAAGATATGTATTAGTAAGCCACGTGGAGTTGGAAAATATAGATATTAAGGAAACAAATTGATCTTATGTCTGTAAAAAAAGTATGGCAGGTTGAATAGATCATGCATTGTATTGTATGATAATGTATTTCAAATGTTTTGTATTGCAAAAAAAATCCTTATTTAACATCCTCATCGAATTTCAATTCATTAGCACCATTGGAAATTGAATGTGTACTCATTTTTTTCAAGATGGCTGCCATATATGGAATGTCTATTTTCTTGGTTGGTGAGAAATCCAGATTTCTGACCAACCAAGAAAATAGACAATTGGTCCAATGAATCTCTTAATCATTTCAGCAACTCTAACCTGAATCCCTCAAGTGGAACTTGAAAAGAAGATTAAAGAAGCCTATTTTCCTTATATTATTAGTCAGGAAAACCATGATTGCAAAATCACGTTTCAAAATGATCACTTTGATTGTCATATCGGCTTGTTTCCAGAACAACCCCATCAATATTCAACTATTTAGTCTTTTTCTGTCTTGCACGATTCCCAGAAGTTTCCATGAGCGCCATAATTTTTTTTATAATTTATCTATTTTGAATATATACATACATATAATAAGATCATAGACCATGATCTATACTGCATTCGCCGATTTACTCATACAGATATACACACATACACACACAGTTATTGACATCCTTACTGAAGCAAGATTAATTCTTTTAATTTTTTCCCACTCCTATACTACTCGCGCAGACACATTTGCACAGAGACGTCTCTGATTTGCACAATGAAAACAATAAAGTACAGAATGAAAGAATGTGAAAGAGAAAGGTGTGACGTTGAATTCATTTCTATATTTGCTAGTTTCCCACCTAAGTTTGATAATATAAATTTCTTTTATATAGAGAAGCAAGAGGTAAGAAAGGGCTTGAGACGTGGAAAATATCTTCAGCAAGAGATGTGTAAAGAACTTTAAATGTTGTTATTAGATACATATTTCGAAAACTGTCAGACTTAAGTGTTTACTATTAGATATCGAGTTGAACGAAATTTCTCCACTTACCCCACGCATTAGTAAATTTTGCTTTTGATAGCTCCTTCTGTATGTAGTAACACGGACTTAAATCTAATATACAAGTCCGTGGTAGTAATAATCTTTTATGCTACTGGCCAATGCAGTTACGTTTAAAGATTTGTTAAGACACATGGTTCTTTAAATGTACTGTTTTATGATAAGAATGACTATATTGTCAACCTTAGCACTAATACTATCATTTGTGAACCCAAAAAGGAAGAAGTGCTTATTTATTGAAAAAAAAAGAATATGAAGTGAAATTAAAAGATTTTCAAATGTTTATAAATTTTGCACGTCCTGGCTTCCCACATCAAATGAATTATTGTTTCACATTCGGGGATACAAAAAGTGCACATAGGATTAACTACTATACCTAATTTTAATAATTTGGAGTTTGTGGTAAGGATACGATGAGATATATGATATTGGAGCCATTGAAATTAAGTATTTTTGGTTACTATACGTGCAATTTTGTGTACTAAACCCTGTTATTGCCGTTTAAATAATTGACCAGTGGCATATGTTGTGTTTAAGATGTTGGTAAAGAGTTTGGAATCATTGATACTGACTTCGTGTCTCCTAGGGCAATTCAAAACTGACCACAGAAGAGATATTTTGATGCTTATAGTAGTTTTAAATCATCAGAATAAGCTCTTAAAAAACATTCACTTCTTATTCGAATGCACCGGCCGTAACAGATTGAGTGCGTTCGAGAATACAGCTGAATTATATAATCTGACTTCCGCCGGAACACGATGCAAAATGAGCAAGAGCATTATTTTACGTAAACATCAATTAATTTAGATACCACATTTCTATGTAAGACATTTCGAATAATGCGTATAATACCATGGCTAACCTGCTAATAAATGGACGTTAAATGATAATGCTTATACAGATGTATACTAGTGATACATCTGTCATGTTGTTCCGATTCTGACGAAATTTCGAGGTGGAAGGATTTGCGTCATCAACTATTAGGAGAAATAATACATTATGGGCGATATAAACGACTTTTTTCGTGCTCTGTTTGGATTTGGCAGAAGAAAACCATCAGAAGGGCTTGATAAACCAGGGGAAGGAGCATTTATCTTGTAAGTTTACAACTGCAAGTGTCCTTACCTGTTTACGTTGATTGACTTTATCATTGCTTGCTCAAGTGTACATTTTTGAAAATCAGAGGGAAATACACATACAAATACACAGGATTTGAACCCGAGTCACCGGCGTGATAGTCCACGGCTGTTGAAGCTGAGCCAAAGGAGCATTATTTCTCCCAGATTAGTGATGATGATGATGGTGATGGTTTCTCGTCTCCGTGACTCTGCCCGTCGCCCGATTCCCTTAATACAACTCGTGTTTGGATGTACCTAATGATCATCCTGGGGACATATTTAGCACCCAGCTGTTCATTAATCAAGATGTTTTTTTTAATTTTATTTGTATTAATCAATTTACACCAATGTCTAGCAATATGTAAAATTTCATTCTGATTGACTGACTGAAAAGTATTGAAATACACTGTTGAGTTTAATGTGGCGCATGCATAACAAACACTATACTGAACTACCATGTAAGTGAGTAATCAGTGAGGTTTTCACATTCCGGCATTTCATTAATTGAAATTTTTTTTGTATTTTTTTCGGTGTTATTTATAGCCATATCTAACAACATGCAAAAAATCATTCTCATTGACTCTTTAGTTTAATACTAAACTACAATGTAGGAGTGAATGTCCTGTGAGGTTTTTGCATGCCAGCATTTCATTAATTGAGATTTTAAAAATTTTAAATGATGTAATGACAGTGCAATTAAATTTCGAAGTCAAAGTGCAGAGATAGAAAAAAGTAAGTAAAACACCACACTGGAATGGCTTATAAACAGCAAACTGTAAGGTCTGAAAAGGATAGTGGGGCAAATAAACTTGTTTTGCCTTTAAATGAACTAAAGAATCTTGGTACGTTGTGTGAATAATTGTTTAACTGTTTCTACCAATCTTATTAACATCACCATTCTATCTCTGAAATAAGCAGATTCATTGGAAATGTAAATATCAATGACAGCATAATAAATGTGAATATTGACATTGATTGATCATTTTAGAGACAGAAATTTTTGGCCGATACAAACTCCTGGAAGGTTTGCTAATATTTTGTGTTTTCAAGAAGGAGTTCTGACTTGATAGGAACAAGCATAAAAGATAAATTCACCGTTAGTTACATAATAGTCAGAACTCTTATTTCTGAAAACCATACTAAATACTGTTATAAAGAATGGATACAGTTTTCAGAAATAAAGAGACACAAAAATACAAGTTACAAAAATACAAGTTAGTAGCTAGATATATCTATAGATATTCATGATATAAGGCTAATACTGTTTTACATTGCATTAACTAGAAACCTTCGGTATTTTACAGTATTGATGACAATGAAGATGAAGTACCCTGGGGTGATGGACGTTCAGGACATTTCTTCGGTGGCAACATATTCTCACAATTTCAACGAGATATGGAACAGATGCAGCAAGAAATGGCTGACATGTTTCAAGGTTTTGAAATAGGATTTCCTTCAGGTTTGTTAATACTTCCTCAATATACACAGGATGTAAGCAGTGAAACATTTGTTATGTAAAGTGCTTTATATTATATATCCTTGTCTCAATTGTTTTAGTTAGAATTGAGTCCTCTTCAGCAACTGAGTTAGTGTAAAAGTTATATTAAATATGCAATAGTTATAGCTGGGTCTGAATTAAATTACCAGGTAATTAAACTGTAGATATTCTTGATACTCCATGGGTTACGCTCACTATTGCTCTATGTACCCTCAAATATTTTGTGGCAAAATTGAAAGGCTCAAGCAAAGTCATTTGACTGGTCCACAGCAGGTTTCAGGAGAAAAAAGGTGACCAATCATAGACTGATACACACCTCTTAAGACTTCAAGGACAGTACAACTTACGCTATGTGACCTTGAGATTTGTTTGATGTATATCAAAGGATCAAATTAGTCTTTTCTTCTTATGCACAAGGTATTGTACATGGATCCTTTGTCATGAAGTGTTCTTGGGGTGCAGAGAGCAATAGTGAGCATAACCCCTGGAGTATCGAGGATGATTGAAGATATCATATCAGTTCTGTCAAGCACACATTTTGACAGAATGCAATGAAAAGTGTTTACAACATATTTTGTATGTAAAAATGAAATACTTTCATAACTAATGATTAAATAGTGGTAGAGATTTATTATTGTACATGATACATAATTTACCATAAAACAGAACATCCAAGAAATCCACAACTTTCACCTAACCCACGAGATGATATGCTGAAAAAGCCTGACTCCACTCCTGAAGACAGTAGTCTGGATAAAGAGAAACCTGACCTTGGACAAAGAAGAATGGGTCCTGGCTTTCATCAACCACACCCATTTGTAAGACATAAAGAAAACAATCAGATAATATAAGTGTTGTATTTACAATAAGTTAAAGTCATTTGCAGAACTAGACCATGATTTGTGATACAGGCCCATATGTCCTCTTGTAACCTGGTAATCCTGTACTGTCACATCCATAGCAAACCTGGTTACCCTAGTGTTACTCCCATAGCACATCTGGTTATCCTGTAGTGTCACACTTACAGAAAATATAGTTAGGGCCCCGCATTGAGATGCAGGTGCCTTATACTAATCAGCTTGTCCATCCATCTGTCTCCCTGTCTGTTTTTGCTTTCTGCACAATAACATGTGTATCTAATGTCAGATTATCAAATTTGGTATGTAAGACCTTGCATGGGTTTGATAAACAATGAAATCTGTCAATATTTGAGAGTGAAGAGTTATGGGACTTCGAAAGCCGAAAATATACCATTTGATTACTCTCCACATATTGTGTATTTGCAGAAGGATTTTCACCAAATTTGGATTGTGGGTTAATGTACACAGGACAATTAAATCTATTCAATAACCATTGGAATTTGATCATATCATCAAGAGTTATGGAACTTTTAAATGCTGGAAATATACCGTGTTATTGTACATCCTCACCGAATTTGGTATGTGGCTTTATGTACACGAGGTATCACAGGATTTGATAACCATTAAAATCTGTTCATATATACAAGAGTTAAGGGAATTTGAACGCTGGATTTTATTTCCATTCTGCACAATATCTTGCATGGTTGTATTTAGATTTTCACTCAATTTTTGTGCTGTCTCTGATACATGAGATCTTGTGTGGGTTCTTCTCAAACTCACCATAGTGGTTCTCATATTAATCACTTTTGGATAAAAGATATTGAACATTACCAAGTCATCCAAATGTGGACACATAGTGATCATAAACTTGTGGACTGTATTGACTAGATAAGAATGCAATATTGCATTACCTCAATCTGAACATAAGCCTTCTATCTGGGATGTATTGAGAAACATCATACTGCTGATAAATACAATTAATTACAGAAAAAGACAATTTTTACTCTGCTCTCTTAGGAATGCAAGTGGTACATTCAAGATAAAACTTTTTCCTGTTTAAAAAGGTGTCGATAATAATTAAGTGGTACATTCAAGATAAAACTTTTTCCTGTTTAAAAAGATGTCGATAATAATTAAGTGGTACATTCAAGAAAAAACTTTTTCCTGTTTAAAAAGGTGTTGATAATAAAAGTATTGTTATCTGTTCTTTCTCCTACAGAGTAAACATTATCTTTGTTGTCAGTATTTATTTTACTTTTCAGTTTGGAGGATTTTTCCCACCACCAGGGTTACCACATACATCAGAGAGGAATGATAATGGTACATACTCATGTGCATAGATTTTAAAACTACTGCAATTTTTCAGGGGAGCATATAGTCACTGCCTCATCCATCCATCTGTCCGTCTGTCTTTTCATCCATCCTTTCGTGTCCAGGCCATAGCTTTGCTGTTATCTGTAGCTATTTCTTGCTTTGATGAAGTGATGGGTGCATTCAATATGGTTTCAATTTGTCATTGGAGATAGTTATATATTATGTTTATCATAATCCTCCCTATTAGGGTAGGTATTATGTACAAAGCTGGCTGGTTGGTTGGTTGGTTGGAAATCGGTTTTCAGAAGTGATTTTCAGTATATTTCAATCATTTGGGACACTAAAGCAGTCTGATATTCGGAATGGAGAGGGAACAGTATTTGAGAGGTTTTCATTAATAAAGAGAACGTCATTCCTTATATGGCCATTTTGTTCAGTTTCAAGAGGTGATTTGTTTTGAGAAGGATCGGTTTGGGGAAGTTGCACTATATTGTTGCTTTTTTATTCAGATTATTGTGACTTTGACAAAAGTTTGAGGTAAAGATGAAGTATTTTTCGTGGAAAATAAATGAAAAATTGAACTGTCCACAGTAACAAATTTAACAGTATATGTGACTGACATTACTGGTTTTCAAAGTATCGTCAGTTTTTTTTTATGAAATTAGATAAATAACTGTATCATCATAGTATTATGGACAGATGATCTGATGGTGATCTCGACTGGTTTTCTTAGCTTTGTGATGTACACATCAATTAGCCACCATATTGGTGCATATATGTTGGCTTTTACTTCATGTATATGTATACACATTATTTTAAACAGATGTGTTGGCTTTTATCTACAGTAAAAAACAAAACAAAAATAATTTCATACGAATATTTCATGATTATACAATTTTTAACATTGATATAAAATTCTACTGACAGCAATGTTTTGTTATCAGAGCTGGGTCCTAATACCTCAGGGACTGGTTTCCATGGAGGTCTGAGGGTGCCACATATGGCTTCCTTTTCCAGCGGTAGAAGTGTTTCTGTAAGCACGTCAATTGGACCCAATGGGGTAAGCTAAACATACAATACTTCCCTCAATACAAAAAATAATCTATCTGTTGTGCCTGTGTGAAATGTTTCGGTCAAAATTTAATCAATTCATTAATCTATGAATGGATATTTAACAATGTACAGTTCTTTCTTCAGCAAGTTGAAGAGCGGAGAACTGTAAGGGATTCAGAAGGAGGTGAGGAGGTAACCATAACAAGGAAGCAGGGCAGCCAGGCACATTCTGTTACCACGAAGACGGACAAAAACGGTGTACAGGAGAAAATAGAAAACTTTACCAACATGAGTGAAAGTAAGTTTATTTTGTAATGATATAAATATATTGTTACAAATTCTGAAAAGTCAGAAAGTGCCGAGATAGTTTTGTGGACAAAAATAAAGTACAGAGTACTACACCGAAATAGGACTTTTTTCTTCCACTAAAAGGTTGTTATTCAAAGTTACTGTTTTGCCAATGTCAACTCCTAGGTAAGACGTTAGATTAAAGTAAAATTTCAAGTGAAAAAAGTGTATTGGCTTATGAATTTTTTAAAAATTTTCTATAATATCTGTACAGCAGCATGTATGCATTGCAATATAATATTTGCATTATGTTGAAAGGGTCCAGGACATCTTTGTATTTATGAAAGCAAGAGTCGGTTCAAATTCACAATGTAGCTTATCTGTTAAAAATGTTTGACAGAACTACAAAACTTTGTGTGGAGAAAAGAAAAAAGGCACTCTTTTTTTTAAAGCACAGTACCTTCAAGCAAGTTCATTGCTGGAACTCAGTAATGTGACTTTAGCTTGGTCAGTGTCTGGCAGTCTGAATATCATATTCTCTTGGTCTTGTTCTACAATTATCATAGTTAGTATCGGTTAAGCTATGGTTATCTTAGCATGCATGACATTAACGTTGTATCAAATTAGTATTTTTTTCTCAAAAATACATGGAATTGTGTTAAATTGACAGAAATAGGACAAGTTGACTTTCCCTTGTTAAATTGTGATGTGTCAAATGTCCTGAAGTTAAGTCTTCTGCAACACTGTATTTAGTTCAGTTTATCCCGACTTTGTTTTTCGCACTACTTATTTGTCTCAATTTGAAATATAAACGTGTATTGTTCTTACAGATGATTTATCAGACTTCAACAACAAATGGAGTAATAAAAATGAAGAGAGTAATTATTCAGCACCATTACAACCTGACGCTCTATTGAAGAGCCAGCCACCATCAGATAATAGTGATAAAGATACTGTGTTGACTTCCAGGTTAAAACGTATGTTTGAATGGCTTAAACCTAAAGTGGAATAACAGGACATATTCTATTGATTCTACAGACTCAGAAAGTTGTGCAGAAAATAGACACACAGTGCACTTTTTCTGTACATTAAATCCTAGCAACTGACTTCAACCTTGCCAGCTTAGGGGTGTGAATTTGTTTGTGTTAAAGTTAGCATTGCCTGTGATTAATTTATTACCTGTATAAGGATCCATATAAAATAAAACTGGTTTTGTGTTGGTTAAACAATAAACTTACAAATATATAGATATAGGTATTTTTGATTGGGTTTTAATCTGTAGCATATTTGTCAGTAGTGCCAAAATTACAACAAAAATTCAACAACTTTGACTGTTATGTAAAAGTGCCTGGAGAAGTGGAGCATCAGTTGTAGTAATATTGATTAATTTATGTCTGGTGATATTCAAAGTAGAATGTGTTTGAAGTCAAACTGAAAAAAATAGTACTTCTGACTAAAATGAACGGGCATGGTATTATACACATACCGGATTTTGTCTTTATTTTGAATCCCTGGTTCAAATGTGTATAGGATGTACATTTCATTACAAGGAGGTTTATTGTAAAAATTGATCTGTGAAGATTGTTATTTTAAATGCATTAAAAAATGTTGATGTTATCATTTCTAATTTGTTTATGTTTTTTAGGCTAAATATAACACAGTTACAGTTTTAGCCTATTGTCACAGTCTTTGGAACTAACTTCCAACCCTAGCTTTCTGATCGATGGAAATATGCCAATAGATTATCAGTGACCTCTGGTAGCAGTCACATGCTATAAACAATGCTGCCATCTTTAAAAACAGTGTCGTGCATGCCTACTCTTGCTATGGGACAATCATGTATTAAACTGAAAAAAAAATGACAGACTAGGTGTTAATGAAAATAATCAGAGTGAGATTTCCATCAATCAAGAACTAGCATTGCTCTGGTTTGCAGAGGACTCTCCAAGGCAGGACAATATGGTGGGACGCACAGAATTATGGGATCATTGACATCTATTTGCAGTCTATCAAAAAGTTGACAACCAATGATAATCAGCGACAGTAAGAGTCATAAAGACTTCAAAAATCATATTTTAAAGTAACCAATAGAGTTAGCAACATCATAGATATTATCATAATACACCTTTTTACTAAGTTTCATGTTGATGTTTGTAAAAATTGATTGATTGAAAAATGAGAGTTATGACGATTTTACTCTAGGTGGAACGACAATGTGTGTACATTTTAAACAAGTACCATGGGTAATTGTGATGCATCCTCAGACGCTATTGCTTAAAATACTTAAAGAAATTATCAATGTCAAAATATGTATTGTTAATATGATTGTTATACATCTTTGAACAAAGTTTCATGTTGATAGTTGTAAAATTGGTTGAGTTGCAGAAAGATGAATTTTCCTCGATCACAGACGGTACTGGTGTGTATGTGCATCACACTTGAGCAGCGTCACCTTGTTATGTGTTGATTAAGTAGGGAAGAAAATCATTAACAAGACAGAATTCATCCCTGTAATTGTTTTATGGCTCTGTATAACACATACATCTCTCTGGTTTTATATTCCTCATTATAATATCATGCACAATTAATTACGATCTCTGTGAGTGAAGTTTTCTTTGATGTCCCACTGTCACATCTTTTGCAAGCTATCTGACACAATTTGAGGCCCCACGGAATGCATGCAAGTGTTCTTTGTCAAAGGCCTTTCACTCCACATTTTGACAGGATAATTGCACCAAGACCATCCTTACTATGACAAATAAGTAATAACATAAGGGAAGACTCTGATATGATTAGTAAACACCAATCTTAATAAATAAAAATCTGTAGTAATAAGCCCCGATGCATGTTTTACACATGTTTTTACAGTAGCCAAATGGACCATTTATAATCTTTTGTAAAGACCTTCAATTTTTCATTAAAAATTACACACTTTTGTTAATCTTTTGTAAAGTTTTGTTGCTCAATATCCAGTGCCAAATGCACTCAATATCCAGTACGAATGCCAGTAGCAATCTCTTGATTTGGAACTTTACATTGTTTCTGTGAATTATAAATTTTGCACAAATTTCACAAATTTGGCTCTTGTTAGTTAACATTTATAAAACAGTCAGATTGTTTTGCATGTGATGGCTTATATCTCTTATTTGAAGTTACAAATATATATTTATTTAACATGTTCAACCTTTCAATAATTTCAGTACTTTGATTTGGCAGTTACAAACATTTTGGTTTCAAATGAGTCAATACAAGTGAATGTTAAATGCAGCCACTTGGATTGGGTGATTTGTATAGGATTGTCAACCTAATATCATCAAATGATGGGCTAAGCAAACTACCCTATGTCTGGGGTTCGTTCATCTGTAAAAAATTCTTGTTATCGCTATTTCTTGGAAATTGCTGGATGGATGATTCTCATATTCCATAATAAGGTTCTCCTTTCTCTCTAGAATTTGGTTGCCATGGTAACCTGATTGCATTTTACAGTTTTTTTTTATATTGGCCTCAACCTCATCAGTCTTTAGAGCAACATTAATGAAACTTTATCAAATAGTGTAAATGGTCAAAGCTGGAAAGTTCACATATCAGATGTTGCCGGAACCATTACTATGGAAACATAATAGCAGCTTTTGATTGGTCGAAGTTGAGATATTGTTTGATTATTCCGAAAATTTTTATATATATTTCCATGAAATTATACAGCAATGTTATGAGTAATATGTAGAAGTGCAATGTTTTTTTGGGGGGTTTTTTGGGGTTTTTTTTTTCATTTTTGGTTTGTTGGGAAGGGCCAAGTTAGTTTATGCCACACTGTGGCTTCTGTTGTCTGTCGTCCATCACTCAACTTTTTCACATTTTCATCTTCTCTCTTCTACTCAGCCGAATGTGATCAAAGTAAATGTGAATCATCAGTAGGGCATAGTGATCTGAAGTTATGGGATCAAGGGGTCAAGTTATAGGATGGAGCAGAGAGTAATGGCACATTCAATTAATTTTTCTAGGGGTCAAGTGGTAGTTGGGGGTCAATATTATATAAATGTTATGCAAATAGGATGTGGTCAATATTGCTTTGTGAATTACATGATATCTACCTAACTATTGAGATCCCCACCCTATGTATAACCTTGATGGTTATCATAAAATTAACACAGTCATGACTTTGGAGGTGGCCATGGGGTCTGGCCCCACCCCTTGGGATTTGGTTTCTTGATTACATCTTTGGAACAGTTGAGATCCCTACTACATAACCATATATGGTATTACCAAGCATCAAAAGACAAGCACAATTTTGATGTTAAAATTGGTCCCAGGGCCTGTCCCAACCTCTGTGGGACTTGTTTCTTAGTAATATCTGTGAAACATTTGAGAGCACCAACCCATAACCATATATAGCATAACTAGGTATAAGAAGACAAGACACAAATATGTTATTAGAATTGGCTATGGGGTCTGGCTCCACCTCTATGTACAAAGTTTTATGGTTATATCTTTGAAACCCCAACTCATATCTATTGTAGTATTGCTTGGCATCCAAAGTCAAACAAGCATTTTGCAAGAATTGACCCCGTGGTCTGGCATCACCCTTTGGGACATAGTTTCTTTGTTATATTTTTGACAAGATCCCAATCACATAGTCATATAATAGCAGTGATTGACATATAAAGACAAATACTATCATTGTGTATTAATTGGCCCTTGAGTGTGGCTCCGCCCACCCGACTTCATTTCTCGGTTACAACTTTGAAATGGTTGAGATCCTAATCCCATAACCATTAAGATATTGCTTGGTATCAAAAGACATATACAGTTATGATGTTAGAATTAGTCACAGGGTCTGGCTTCACCCATAGGGACATAGTTTCTTGGATAAATCTTTGAAACAGTTGCGATCCCCACTCCATAACCATATAAAGTATTGATTGACATCAAAAGGAAAACACAATCACGATGCTATAATTGGCCCTGGGGTGTGGCTCAGTTGAAACAGTTGATATCCCCATCCCTTAACTATATATAGCAATGCTTCACATAAAGAGATTAACACATCCATGATGCAAGAAATGACCCTTGGGTGTGGCACCACCCCTCAGAACTTATTAGGTGTGGCACCACCCCTCAGAACTTATTGGGTGTGGACCCACCCCTCAGAACTTATTGGGTGTGGCCCCATCCCTTAGAACTTATTGGGTGTGGCCCCACCCCTCAGAACTTATTGGGTGTGGACCCACCCCTCAGAACTTATTGGGTGTGGACCCACCCCTCAGAACTTATTGGGTGTGGCCCCATCCATTAGAACTTATTGGGTGTGGCCCCACCCCTCAGAACTTATTGGGTGTGGACCCACCCCTCAGAACTTAATTTCTGCCACAACAACCATCAGGGCTTAATTTCTAGGCTATATCTTTTGAACAGGTGAAATCCCCACCCCATATGTAGAATTGATTGACATCGGGAATAAACACATTCATAATGGAAGATTTGACCCGTGGGTGTGACACACCTCTAGGGACCAAGATTCTAGGTGATATTTTTGACACAGTTGAGATCCAATAACCATAAATACTCTTACTTGGCATCAACAGAGAAAGACAGTCATAATATAAGAATTTACTCATTGCTCTTGCCCTACCACAGACTGTAATTTGGTATATTTGAAATAACCAACCTGTAGGCATGTGTACCATTGATGGCCTTTATCGACCTCATCCTCTGCTTTATCAACAACACCCTCCACGTAAACCTTGGTCAATCCAACTAAGAAATGGGAACAATGTATTCAACAATGGGACCAACAGGCAAATTAACGAACGACACATATCCAGCTTCATATCACACAAAGAAATAGAATATTTCTCAATGAGATCACTATTACGACAGTGAAATTCACCTACTTTTATCAACCTGGATCTTTCGAAACCTTGTGTTACGTCAGACTTCTTGCATGCAAGTTAGGGTAATGGAAGCAGGCCCTTGAATATCGAATCATTAGCAACATGTTCACACGATTGGTTGTGGAAGCAGGAAGGTTGCTATCCAGAAATGGAAAATTTACCATAGGGGTATTGAAATCACCGCGCTTATCGCACAGCTTGGTAGAAAGCTGTCTTTTGTAAATATGATAAATTTAACTAATTTGAAAGTCTTTGTGGCATGTTTTCCTCACCAGGTAATGTCCACAATCATATCAACACTAGCACCTTATATCAAATAACCACTAACACGCATTCCGTCGAATGGGACTTTAAATGGTGGCCCATTTGAGAATGCCCAGAGGTAGGGTCAGATTAGCAATAGGGATCATTTATTAAGTAAGTTTGACAGACTTCCAAAAATATTATAAACATATCGAATACTTATGAAGTGTAGGATTCTCTTCATCCCTGTCTTTAACCGGTCATCTATGCAACGTGCCTAGTAAGTGTGAAGTAAGAACTATAATTGGGCCAAGGGGATCGTCTTCAAAATTACAGTTAAAAACGGGCCTGATAGTATAAACGGCCCCTCTACCTCATCTCTGTATTCCACTCTCTCCCGCCACTTCATACGATTTCATTTCTACTAATTTTCCTATCTTTTCTTTTCCGCTGAAAGGCCGAAATGCGTACATCCCGTTGAATAAATA